GAGAATTGCTTGAACCCAGGAGGCGGAGGTTGCGGTGAGCCGAGATCGCGCCATTGCACTCCAGCCTGGGTAACAACAGTGAAACTCCGTCTCAAAAAAAAAAAAAAAAAAAGAACAGAGCCTAGGCTGTTCAGGCTGGTTTCTCCCTATCTTAAGATGTTGCATTCTTAACATATTCTATCCTTATTCTTGAGAACTATGTGTAAAAAAGAGGGGGTAACTGTGTCAGTCCAAAGATACCTGAAAAATTGTCCTGTGCTGACTAACAGCAGAGACGCTTCCAATTGATTTCAAGTGGTTTCACAATGTAGTTACAAACAAAGTTATTATGTGCCTATGTTGTGTTTGGCACCATGGTGATACCAATAATGATTAGGGTAATAATAACAGAATGTACCAAGCCATTCCTTTTCCCTATCCTTCTTTGAAGCGTCACCTCCTTGACCTCCCCCAGAACCCGTGAGGTAGTTAATGTCTTATCTCTGTTTTATAGCTGAGAATGTACTGAGTTCGCAGTGTTTACCTCATCCTCAGTCACATTACTGTTTGCGGTGGTGGAGTGATTTGAACCCAACCTATTTGGCTGGTGTTTTAACCAGATTGTTAGGAAAATAAACATCAGCCATCAAAAATCTCCTCATCTAATCTAGAGGGGGAGTTTACAACTGGAAATAATTCATCTCAAGGGATTTCAGAAAAGTGGTAGAAAACCAACATGGCCTTGGTCTTCTACCACTAAGGTTTTATTTTTTAAATAAATGAATAAGTAGGTTTTGAGTTGCCATTTTACAGCTTTGGTCTTAGTTCAACAAGAAGGAGCAAGTAGGGACACTTTTCATGATGGGCATATAAGCACAGCCCAACCCCCAACACAGCTGAACTCAGCATTAGCATGGAGCATTAGAAATGACATTCAGCATGCATCTTGCCATGTGACCAATCCTGGTCTCCATCACAAAATTGCAGTTACTTGGTGAGCCTGGGAGGCCACTCTCTGTCCCTACCCTGGACCTTCCTGTACTACAGATCCTTCCTGACATGGGACACTGGACTCCAGGGCTCAAGAAGGCTCAACCAGGTCTTAACAGCAGTTTATGGGGGGCCTTCTGATCCCCTCACCCATCTCCCAAGTCTGGCCAGACTGACAGGACCAGCAAGGGAGAAGGCGTGGGAAAGATTAGATATGTAGAATAAAGCAGTATCATGGAGAGCCTTGAAAGCCAATTTAAAAATAATTTTATCTTCTAATAGTAGGTCCTAGTCTAGTAGACTTTTCACTTTGGATCTTGACTCCTTAGTAGGCTGTAAAATTATTGTACTGGATCACAACCAGTGTACCTGTTTACATGAACTAGGATAGAGTAAAACAGAAACTAGAAATGCGTCTTGCCGTTAATAAGGGTTTTTGGGAAACACTTGTTTTAGTATACACAGTCAATTCCTGTTGTATAAAGTCACCAGCAACACTGAATCGCTAATTACTAAACCACTGCTCCTGGGTAAACGCAGGATTAGGTTTCTTTGTTCCTCTGGTCAGAAAATGCTCATCAACAGATGAATACATAACCTTATTTTGTGAGTGTTTCTGGGTGGAGACGCCTCATTTTATATTGTTGGTTCCCTAACATTCAACTCCAGGCTAAAAGCACCATCACTCATGCCTGAATGAAGGTCCTCAGACACAAGTATTTTTCTCCCTAAGGTACATCCCAGCCTTCTTGTTGTGAGGAACACTGTAGTTGCCACTCTAGCACTAAGCGTGGGGCCATTTTCAACAGGAAATCACCAATTTTAAAAAGCACAAAAATGTACAAAATGTGACATTAAATAGGCCACGAAAAGGATACTTGTTTACAGTTTGAGCTGAAACAAGAAGGCAGAGCATTACCTTTCTCAGCCTCAGCTGGGAACACGTATGTCATTACCTTTCTCAGCCTCAGCTGGGAACACGTATGTCATTACCTTTCTCAGCCTCAGCTGGGAACACGTATGTCATTACCTTTCTCAGCCTCAGCTGGGAACACGTATGTCATTACCTTTCTCAGCCTCAGCTGGGAACACGTATGTCAGGCACTCATATTTTCATCACTCTACACTTGTCTGTGACTGAACAAACATGCTTTGAGCATGGATTTGGGAGCGGCAAATCAAGTGTAGCAAGCAGGTGAATTTGCGAATATAGTATTTGTAAATACTGAGGATCAGCTGCGTGTGCACAGACACACGTTTACTGGGTCTACGAGGCTATAGTGTTAAATGCATTTCTCAAGAGAAAGTATGGTTGTTTTTGTTTTTTACAACTACCTCCCTAGATAATCAGATTACTGAGGAATGGCATGGTGGACACTGCTTTAAGATGTGTCCAGTAAGCAGAATGGAGTTTAGAGGCAAGAAGCCTGGATTAGAAGGCTTCTGTAGTAATCTAACCTCATGAAATAAGGAGGGCAACAGTAGGCCTGGGGAATGGGGATAACTAAGCTGAGAAAAAGAAAATATGATGCCTTGGCTACAAACTGAATATGTGAATAAAGAAGGGAAAGTTGATTATTCTGAAAATCTCTGGTTCAGAAATTAGAAGGGTGGCAGGTGTAGTGAGATATGTGGTCTATTGGAGTGAACAGAACTTTGAGGTCGGGCATGGTGGCTCACACCTATAATCCCAGCACTTTGGGAGGCCGAGGCAGGTGGATCCCCAGGTCAAGAGATCAAGACCATCCTGGTCAACATGGTAAAACCCCATCTCTACTAAAAATACAAAAATTAGCTGGGCATGGTGGCGTGTGCCTGTAATCCCAGCTACTCGGGAGGGTGAGGCAGGAGAACTGCTTGAACCCAGAAGGCGGAGGTTGCGGTGAGCCGAGATCGTGCCATTGCACTCCAGTCTGGGTAACAGGAGCTAAACTCCGTCTCAAAAAAAAAAAAAAGAATAGAGCTTTGAATGCTGGTAGAATCCAGGTTGAGTCTTGCCTGTATGACTTCATTAATTAGACATGTGATCTTTGGCAAGTCACAAAGCCTTCTGCCTCATTTTTACAATCATGCCATTTAAATAGCAATTAATTGCTACAATTAAATGAGACAATATACTCTATATATGATATTCATGAATACGCTGACACCCAGGATGTCGCTGCAGTGTATACAGGTGATATGCTTCTATTATGTGTAATTATTCATGTTTATTATATCCACGTATTTATTACAAACATGCAAAATATAGTATAATTACCCCTGAAGAAATAGTGGGATATCCAAGAAGAGTCACTCATCAGGCCATGAAATCCTGACACACCAATACAGTTGAAAGGCCAGGATTACTATACATGTGGATTACCAGTGTTTCAAAGCACTAGAGTACAAATAATAAATATGAAAACTGCCTGACAAAATGGAAACTTTGTTTGAGAATGTGCAGTAGCATCTTGCAACCAGCCATAATCATAAATATCAATGTTTACATATTGCCACAGCTCAAAGCTGCTGGTAAAGAAGAAGTGCTCGACGCACTACCAAATACACGGGCTTGTACTGTAAATTGTCCTACAGGTTAAAGTTGGTATTGTCAAAACACGGCAGGCAACATTATAGACTTTAGGGCTCAGTATCCTTATATCTCCCATAGTGTTCAATGTCATTCAAACACAGAAAAATGCTCTTCTCTCATTATGTCTTTTCTTTTTGATGAGAGATGAATAGGTCCACTTGAGAAATGATTATATCGACTGCTGTACTTTAAATTTTCTCTAGCACTACAAAACCGGCAAGAAATGGCGAGTCAGTAAGTGCAAACAGACAGCTGATGTGTGATTTCACATCACAGATATTCTCTCTGCAGCACAATGGAACACAGGGTAGAGTACTGAGTTATCCCCCAATGAATTCAAGTCCCTCTTGCATCCTTTACATACCGATTTCATTAATATTAATAATCGCTAATTCTAGCTAACACTTGCCAATGCATAATGGGAACTACGTTTTTACAAACGTTGCCTAACAAAGACTGTCATTTTTTTCTGCATCTTGGTCATGGCACAGTCTGATAGCTTTCAAAGAACAAGCCAAATTGTCAAACGCTGTTGGTTTGTAATGTCATGTTCGATCTGGAGCTGAGAAGTGTGGCCTCAGGTTTCTGGCCTGCCTTTCAAGTCACAGAAGCACAGAATTGTTAAACAATCTGGGGAAATTCAAAGCAGCAAATGTGCAATAACACTTTCTCTGTAGTTCAGTGCTACATAACAAAAGAGACCCATAAACTTTGTTGCATCCTGGCACTGGACGGTGACTTATCTGTGGGAACAGCAGCCACAACAGATGTAAAGAAAAACAGATAGAACTTTTAAAAAATAAACTTCAGGAAAGAGTTTTCCAGTCTTTTTTTCCCCCTGCCTTTCAGCTAACGCTCAGAGCTTTCCCAAAATGTTCTGTTGGAAACAGTGAGACTGGAATAAGCTCTATTTTCCATTTTGTCCCCTTGTTTCAGGGCTTTCTGATGTCCTTTTAATAACCCTGAACTTGTGGAGTGTTTTAATTAATGACTTCATTGTTAGAGTATAATAACATAACCCTGAGAACCTCCTGCGATAATCACGGTTTGTTTATGGCTTTACAACAAACTTGTGTTTTATCCTGTTGGTATATTTATTGTATCTTGGCATTTCTTTTGAAGATGCCAGAAAATCCCAGAAGCTTCAAGAGAGAGAGACAACCTCTGAAGCCATTATCTCTGAAGAACTCAATTCAGTACATGGGTCTTATGAGGACATTTATTGTTCTAAAATGTCATATTTTCCTAGATCAAATGAAGAGCAGCTATATTGAAAATAAGACAGATAGCTATTTTATAAAATAATTTTTACCTTTCTCTGCCAGAAGCACTATATATTTTTTCCTTACTTTAGGAAATGGGGATAATTTTGACACTTTTCACTTTATCTTAGAAAGAGCTTGTACTTTTGTTTTGTAAAGAAGATAAAAAAAGCTATGCATGGTAGGGCTCATACCTGTAATCCCAGCACGTGGGGAGGCCAGGGCTGGAGGATCACTTAGGACGAGGATTTCGAGGCTGCGGTGAACTATGAATGCACCACTGCGTTCCAGTCTGGGTAACAGAGCAAGACCTTGTCTGTAAAAAAAAAAAAAAAGGTAATAATACTGTTTATCATGAAACTTAATTTACATTAAGGTTAAATGTTAATGGAATCCTCCTCCCTTCCTTTGCTAAGTCTGAAATTCCATTCTAAAGCCATGAAATGGGAGGGCAAGGCAGGAATGTGCAGCAGGGAGGAGGGGGGAGTTGTGGTGGCTCAGAACCACGTCAGACCCAAGAGGGTAAGTACTGGTAGGGGACAGACCCCTGCCAAGGCAAGGGGTGTCTGAGTCTTGGCAGGGTGAGGAGGATGTTCCCATGTGGGGGCAGGCTGGTGTGGGGTTTTGGAGTACAAGCTGGGCAAAGCAGGTGTCTAGATGTAAAGTGGGTTGGAATACAGACCCCAAAAATATTTGTCCAAGTGCTAACTCCTGCTACCAAACTCTGTATTAATTTCCCAGAGCTGTTGTAACTAATTATGCTAAACCTGATGACATTCATTCAACAGAAATTTATTCTTTCACAGTTCTAGAGGCCAGAAGGCCAAAATCAAAGTATGGGCAGGCTTGACTTCTTTAGAAGACTCCAAGGGAGAAATGTGTCTCCTTGCTTCCGGGGGACACTGGCAACCCTTAGAGCTCCGTGGCTTGTAGGCACGTCACTTCAGTCTCTGCTTCTGCTTTCATGTGGGGTTCTCTGTGTGTCTGACTCTCCTAAGAACACTTGCTATTGGATATAGAGCCTCCCTCATCCAGGATGACCTCATCTTCAAATTCTTATCTTGGTTATGTTTGCAAAGACTCTTATTCTAAATAAAGGCACATTTTGAGGTTTTGGGTGGACATGTGTTTCGATGTGCCACTGTTCAACACACTACCAGGTGAAATGAGGTGACTCATCAGGTGGTTTCAGAGATCAAGAAGAATGAGAATGGCATCCCTGTGAAGGGTGGTTTCTTGTGGGGCATGAATGCTCATGCAGGATAGGAGAACATCCATGCTACAGGTCACCCAACATAAATGTCAGACCCCAAGTGGGGTAAGGAGGCGAGATGAGAGACTTGTTACATATGGTAGACTGATCAAATTGGGTAGTAAGTATTTTGATGCTAAGAGAAGCCAAGATTCTGTCATAGAAGCAAATTACAAATATAAAAAAGAGAAAATTAAGGAATTGAAGATACTGGTGTGAAGTTACAATTTTTAATAAAAAGATATATTAATACATGGAGATGTAAATGTATGTGGGTATATGTGTATATTATAATACCTAGCTCTGTTGACTGAAATAGGCTGGAAGGATATCTACTATAATACCAGCTAGCACGCTTAGAACCTGTATCTTGGCTTCTAAATACCAGTCTTTACCAAAAAGAGAGTTTTCTTTGGGAAAATGACCAGTTTTCAGAGTTTGTATAGAGGGAGTAGAATACCGAGCATTTTGTGACAGAAAGTAAGGAGTGCTTTAAAAAAATGATGGAGACATGTCAAAAGGGCACAAAATTCATCTTGAAGCAGCTCCCACAGGCCAAATTGGGAATAATCTGACCATCAAAATAAATGATAGTAATATATTATAACTCATTAAAATACAAAACCTTAAGTCCATCGTGATCAGAGTAAACTGAAAAATTGGAATGAATGAGGTATTTACATACTTTCAAATGTATTCCCCACAAAATATTTACTAATCACAAAGGGGAAAGTGAAGACATTTTGAATGGAGAAACATGGCAGATGCCACCTGAACTGAGTGATCAAAGTGAACATCATCAGTGACAGCATAAATCAAAATTGCTTGTCACCCACCTGATAGAATGCAATGAGAAACATCTATGATATTCCTGTCCGATGTATCATCTGCATCTCATTATGAGAAAGCACAATAGAGCCAAACTGAGGCATGTTCTACAGAGTAACTGGCTGGTAATTTTCAAAAGTCTCAGAGATTTGAAAGCCAGGAAAAGACTAATGAACTAATGAAGGCATCTGGAGAGACAGGCTAACTAATTGCAGTGTGTGTTTCTGAACTGGACCCTTATTTTGACAATCAAATGGGGTCTGAATATTAGAGAATAGTAACATCTCAACATATCAGTTGCTATTAACTATGATGATGACAACGACGATGACAATGATCACTGAAGGACCACATGAAAAAATACACCTAGCAGCCGGGCGCGGTGGCTCACGCCTGTAATCCCAGCACTTTGGGAGGCCGAGGCGGGTGGATCACGAGGTCAAGAGATCGAGACCATCCTGGTCAACATGGTGAAACCCCGTCTCTACTAAAAATACAAAAAATTAGCTGGGCATGGTGGCGCGTGCCTGTAATCCCAGCTACTCAGGACGCTGAGGCAGGAGAATTGCCTGAACCCAGGAGGCGGAGGTTGCAGTGAGCTGAGATCGCGCCATTGCACTCCAGCCTGGGTAACAAGAGCAAAATGCCATCAAAAAAAAAAAAAAATACACCTAGCATCTACCTACCACAATATCCTGGAATTCTGGAACAGGAGTGTTCTGGATTCATGAGCAAAAAAACTGGTTCCCCCAGGTCTAATCAAATGGAGAGGTAAATTTCAAAGCACTTTGCCAAATAATTAAACTCTTGAGACCCAGATAACTCAAGTCTTAAGACCTAGGAATGCTAAAATTAAATTGTTTTCATGAAAGTAAAAAATTCATTCTTCTTCCAGCAACCAAAGGAGAGGAATGAATATGGAAAGAGAGGTTGAATTGGCCTAACAGTGGAGTGCTGGGAGCAACTCACTGAACTGTAGAGCTGGAAGAGATAATGGTAAGTGTGCCAAGTTCCTTCTATGATGCCAGTTTGGAAGACTGATCCCTCATTTTCCAAGGGAAAAATAAATCCCAGTGTCATATTTGCATTTCTGTGTAGATCTTTGCTGAGGTTTTCTAAAATTCAGAGCTCAAAATATACCATCATTGTATTTAAGGAAGTCTTATGGGTATCCTCACTTACTCACAGTGCGGTAACATTCCTGCAGATTCTACATCTCCATGCATAGGCCACTGTTTCAGCAATCTCAGCCAGTGCAACACAGCCTCAACCAAGAAGACGTTGAGAAAGGAGTCCCATTCCTGCCACAGAGCTGTTGTGTGAAACTATCTCACCCTGTCTCGAGTTGTCAATTAGTGTGAATTTGACCTTTTTAACATGTGATCTGCAACATGCTTCATTATCTGGTTTTCCAGAGCCATGTTATTAAGAAACCATATTACTGGTATCGTCATCATGGTGAGGAAGTTGGTATGTGGAGAGATGACAGAAGCAGTAAGTAACTCAGAGCTGGCTGCCTGACAGATAAAAAGAAAATGACCAAAAAAAAAAAAAAAAAAAAAAAAAGATGACACAGAAGAATATTTTGTTGTCCACACAAAAGAGGGAAATATAGGTAAGATAGGACTAGACTAACATTCATAAGACTCAAGTTCTAGTCTTATTTATTAGCTATGAGAGGCCTTGAGGGAGTTCTAGAATCAAGTGATCTCTGTTTATAAGATGGGAACAGTTTATCTCACAATGCTGTAGTCAGAAATAAATTTATAATTAATTTTTATAATACAATTTTACAATTAAAGACCATTTTAGGGCTGATTACATTTTTGGGCAGTGGCTCATGCATGTAATCCCAACACTTTAGGAGGCCAAGGTGGGTGGATTGCTTGAACCCAGGAATTTGAGACCAGGCTGGCTCAACACAGACCTTGTCACCACAAAAGAAAAAAAAATGAGGCACGGTGGCCTATTCTGGTGGCTGCAGCTACTCAGGAGGCTGAGACGGGAGGATTGCCTGAGCCTGGGAGGTCAGGGCTACAGTGAGCCATGATCACACTACTGCACTCCAGCCTGGGAAACAGTAAGACTCTGTCTCAAAAAAAAAAAAGAGTATTTTACACTTCAAGTTTCTACACAAATGTAAAGTATCATTTGATTACATATTTAAATGATTTTAAAATGTTAATCTCTGCTTAAGCCCACAGAGACATAGGTAACAAATTTATGAAGGACTGGCATTAAAGATAGTCAAAATAAAACACAGAAATTAGGGTAAATAATTTAACTGGGAAAAGAAGTGGTAATTGTTGGGTACGTGGAAATTTGATTAGCTGATTGTTTAGGATTCTTGGTTGTAAGTGACCGATAACTGAAAGTGGGTGAAGCATATAACTGAGAAGACTGTGGTCAGGCTCAGTAGTCAGGAACGGGAAAATCTCGGGACTGGTTCATGTTTTATTCATATTTTCTTTGTTCCCAGGTAGTCTCTGCATAAGTAACAAAGATGATTCTCTGCAAATATAGACCTACTTTTGCAAAGGGTTATCTCAAGCCATTCTAGAGAAGCACTAAAAGCACTTTATTTATACTAGGAGAATAGTTTGCTTTCCCTAATTGTGACGAGTGGAACACTGAAAAGGGATATAGAGTAATATTCTCTACTGCAGGGGTTGATGTGGTGTGGCTGGTGGGCTGAATCCGGTCCTCAGCCTGATTTTGCAAATAATCTTACGGAAACACGGCAACGTGCCTTCATTACATGTTGTTTATGGTTGTTTTGGGGTTGTAACGGCAGAGTGGAGTCGTCGTGACGGAGATCACCAGGCTCACCACATCTATTTACTGACTCACCCTTTACAGAAGGTTTGCTGCTCTTAGAGGAATGTGTGTTTCCAGTCTCAACAATAAACTTCTTGGATTTGTTTTGTCATCTTTACAATGATAGTCACAGACTAGGTGATTCTTGTGACCTGTTTCTGAAAGCCACTGTGTATCCTGTCTGTCAGGGCTCCCTGGTTCTGTTTCTTCTGCTACTCACTGCACAATTTAATGCCCTGGAATTTCCTTCTGTCTTCTGCTAAACCCACACCTCCTCAGATAGTGAAAATCTCATTCTACCTTAGAAGTCTCCAGTTATTTTCCTAAATTAAGAAGACCTGGATTCAAAGTTACACATTATGCCACATACAGTGGTTAAAAAGAGCTTCTCTTTTATGCACTGTGTGTATTTCAGCATC